TTTACCCTAAAAGCTTTCTAATTTATATTTTTTTCACACCCCGCCACCACAACTATATCCGAACTACCTTCCTTACAAAACAAAAACCACACTGCATGGAGTTTTTCATTAAAGACAAATACATGAGTATTTAAAGCTATATATTCAATTAATTTTAATGTAAAAATAATGCTTTTCGGATGATTTTCGTTTTGTAAGGAAAATGGTTAGAATATTTAAAGACAAACAAGAGTTTGTTCAAGAATTGTTTTCGTTTTGTAAGGAAATTGGTTAGAATATAATTAAGATGCCGGGGTGTTTCAAAAACTGGAAATTAGAGAAATTTTATGATAAATTAAATATAAAGTAATTGTTTAAGGACCTATACTAAATATTAACCTTTTTATTAACGCACCACGTCATCAATTTAACAAAGATAACAGTGGAGTGATAATTTTGTTATAATCGTTAGTGACCATTTTATTACATATCGATAACGTTAGTGACCATTTTATTACATATCGATAACGTTAGTAGCCGTTGGTGCAGTTTACCCTTAAAAAGGATAAAGGTTCAAGTTTTAACAAAAATTCATAGCTAAATTAATGGAAGATGAAATTTATGAAATATTAAATTTATTATTATATTATTATAGCTTTAGAATTATATAATAATAATAATAATAATAATAAATATTATTATAAAGATTCTAATAAATGTAAAGTTGAAAATTTATTAATTGAACTAAAGTGTACACATTCTAGCTTACCATGTATATAATTACTTTAATCTCTTCCATTTTCAAAGAATACCAAATTCTCTCAAAGGTTTACTAGGTATAACAATGGCAACTCCGACCACCGCGACTGCCACCAGGGAAACTAGGGGCCGTCAGAAGATTCAGATAAAGAAACTCAAGAACGAGGCATCCGTCAGGTGACATTCTCGAAACGCCGCAACGGGTTATTCTAGAAAGCCAACGAGCTTTGCGTGTTATGTGGTGCGAACATCACAATCATCATGTTCTCTCCCAAGGGGAAACCGTTCTGCTTCAGTCACCCGAGCGTCGACGCGATACTAGATCGTTACCTCAGTGAAAACCCCCTAGAAGATGCTGACACCGACATTGTCCCGTGTTTCGAGGAGTTTAACGAGGAGTGTCGGGAGGCGTCGGAGAAATTAGAGGTCGAAAAAGAGCAGACCAAGGAGACCTATTGCTATTGCAATGGAGGAGCTGAGGAATAATGTGGCTAATAGGGCTAGTTTATTGATCGGAGAAGTTTTCGCCACCACGACCACCACCATGTGGCTAACCCGAGCGGCTTCGGGAACGGTTTTGCTGTCCAAAACGGCAGTTTTGCCTTCGGAGATGGTGATTTCGGTCTCGGAATCGAAGGTTTTAATTTTGGCCATGGTCCTGACTTAGATTATTGAAGGTATGGCTACTGTTTTAGTTACAAAATTAATGTTTAGTTTTTAATTATTGTATGAACATATATTGATTTCATCTTTATGCGATCATATATAATGAAGAACTCAATTTTAATTAGTTTTTTTCTCCTTTAATTTAACCCTTAAGTTTGAATAATTCGATTTATTTATTCGAATCTTTTCAAATTGAATGTGAACTGAATTTATTAAAATCGTTGACATATTAAATTAAAGGTAAAAAGATATAAGAGGTTTTTGTATTTCTGAAAAATATTAATGTTACCCTCGTATTATTTTTTCTCTCAATGCGATCCTCTAACTCAAAAAATAAATTCAACGTGACCCTTTGACCTACGTTTTCCGTTATTGACCGTTATAATACTGACGTGCTAGTTCACGGTGTTGACGTGACAGTCCACGGCAGCCCATCCACCATGTTATCCACCACGTTAGTCTACCACTTTGGATCGCCACATCAGTACTGTAAATTGTTACGTCAGCATCGTAACAGTTAACGACGAAAAAACGTTGGTCAAAGGGTTAGATTGATTTTATTTTCTGAGTTGGAGAGCCATATTGAGAGAGAGAAAAATAATACAATGACTACATTATTTTTTTTAAAGTACAAGCACCTCTAATATATTTTTACCTAAATTATAATTGATATTTTTCATACTAATATATAATAATATATTAATTTATAATCCAAAATCAAGTATCATGATGCATGATTAGTTAAATTAAAATAAATTTAGATATATCCTACATATAATGAAACTTAAACTAAATTATAATTGATATTTTTCATACTAATATATAATAATATATTTCAAAGATATTTTATATTTTAAATTTAACATAATTAGCTCTATTTATAACATTATATTTTAAAATATTATTTAAAAAAATCTAATATCTTAATGCTCGATTATCAATCAAGGTAGTAAGTACTTGAGGTGTTGGTTAATTCTATCCGGCTCAAAATTCAATCTAATTTTTTTAGATTAATCTGATATAAATATATATAAATTTATTTTGATCAGGTGAAATAGAGATTTAATTAAAAAATATAGAAAAATAAGTATCATAGTAATTATCTCTAAATATATAAAGATTAATTAGATAATTATTTTGGATCGAGTAATTTTTACCTTAAACCTGAACTCAATCTTTATCTTTTTAAAAATATCTCGATCCAAACTTGGGTAAAGTACACAAATGATCTTTTGGTTGTAAGATATTGCTTTATTGAGTTCATTGACTATTAAAAGTTACCAAATGGTCCCTCGACTATAGAGAGTTGCTTTGTTGAGTCCCTTGACTATTAAAAGCTACAAAATAATTACTCGACTATTCATTATGTTCAAAACTTATCATTTTCGTTAAAAAATTAACGGTCGTTTGAGTTTGATATTAACATACTAATTGGGATATGATAGTTGTTTGAGATTATGATATCAAATTTTATCATATCTCAGTCAACAAGTTAATGTACAACTCATATTGTCGTCAATTTTTTAATGAAAAATAAAAAGTTTAGGACATAATGAATAGTCGGGTGACCATTTTATAACTTTTAATAGTCAAATGACTCAACAAAGTAATTCCCTATAATCGGAAATTAATAAACGAGTTTCAAACGGCAAAGGTAGAAAAGGGAAAACGACAAAGAAGAAGCATAGAAGCATCTTGTGGTGGTTGACGTAATACGTGCGCATTGTATTCCATGATCATGTCTTGGTGTATAATAATAAACTCCCATGCAGTCCCCATTGCCCAATTTTACATTTTTTTTATCTTCCATTTGCAGATATCCATGACAGGGTCAAGTTGATGTCCTGTTCTAGATTCAGGGTTTTGTCACCTTAGCACTCGTGTTCGATTAGTTGATCAGTAAATCGGATTAGTAAGGATAATTCAAATTTAAATTCAAAATACGATATTAATAAAGACTTAAATAAATCGAAAATAATCAAAATTGTCTGCAGAAATCCACCTAATGTTACAGCCTGTTTTGGCATCTCTCCAACTTTGCATTTTGCTTATAGAGATCATCACCATTGTCTCTTCCATTTTGTCAGCAAACTCTTTTTTTTTGGCTCCACAAGCGCTCGATGGATCTGTGCCCTTTTGTGCGCATCCTGGTGGGGAATTTGGCCCTTAATGTGCCTACAAGGTCCTTACTGTTGGGGATCCATGACCCTTGTTTTTCTTGTCATTGTAAGATCAAGCTCACCTATTTCCCTCATCAAGTTGCTACAATCCCTTTGATCCGGTTGGGTCGAGACATTGGCGGCCATAGCCCGGAAAACGTACCGGTCGCGGCGTGTTTCAGTCTAAGCAAGTCGCAGATTTGTCTTTGGGGTTCATCGTACAAGCTGTCTATTGAGGTTTATGCAGATGGTAATGGTTGCGGTGCTTGTGGACTGGCATCTGGGAAGTTGTTGGGAAAGGTTTCAGTGCCTTTGGATCTCCAAGGAGCTGAATCGAGGCCGTGTGTTTTACATAATGGATCGGTTCCGATAGGTCGAAGGCGAATCGGGAAGAGCAGATCATGTATGCAGTTGTGTTTAACTTTCGGGACGGAACCTGACCAGAGTGCAGTCCTCAGGTTTTTCAGGTTCAGGGCTCTTTTAAACAGGCAGTCTTCACTTGTAAGTTTGGTTTCAGATCATCTTCGTCGGAATCAAACAGGTCCAGGAACTGGCTATCTTGTCTGAAACCCGGTAGAGACAAGTTCTCGAGAGAACAAAAAGGATGGTCGATTACAATCCACGACCTATCAGGCTCTCCAGTTGCAATGGCGTCAATGGTGACACCATTTCTCCCATCGCCTGGCTCGGATAGGGTCAGTAGGTCCAATCCCGGTGCATGGCTAATTCTCCGTCCAGGATTTGGAACCTGGAAACCCTGGGGTCGGCATGAAGCCTGGTGTGAACCCGGTTTCACCGACGCACTCGGCTACCGAGTCGACATCTTCCACGATAATATCACAACCACCGTTGCCAGTTCAACCCTCAGCACCCAACTTGGCGGGAAATTCACCATGGATATTACGACAACCAACATTGCAACCCCAACCCAAACTCCATTGATAAGCCCACAAAGCAGCAGCAACTTCGGGTCGGCAGGGTCACGTTCCGTGTCAAGACCAGTGTCCGGATCAGGGTCAGACTTTGGGTTTGGGGTGTTATCCATTTCTCCACGTAGCAGTAGTGGGTTTGTGATGTCATCAACCGTGGAAGGTGCGGGGTAATGCAGTAAACCGGAAGTGGAGATAGGGGTGAAGCATGTGACATGCACGGAGGATGCAGCAGCTTTTGTGGCGCTGGCTGCGGCGGTGGATCTAAGCATGTATGCTTGTCGGCCATTCTCTCATAAGTCAAGGAAAGAGTTGAGGCAGCAAACTTAGAGCTTTGTCGTTTAACATAGGTGGGGCCTTGTCGTTTTAGGTTGTTTGGTGTAATAAACAACTAATCAGATGACTTGGTTGGATGTGTTTTTGGATTGAGACTTGATGTAATAACCATCAGTTGTACAGATTTTGAGTTAGTTTTGTTACTCTTCGAACCAACATCGAATCAAGCACAGGTATGCAAGTATGATCCTACAGTAACAATACTGGTTGAAACCAAGTGTAATGCAAGCTGAATACAACACAAGAAGAGCTCACCAATGAGGTTAATTCAAGATTCCTCACCATAAATGAATCAAAACTACTAAATTGCTTGAGAAACACGGAATGAACACGATTTCAGTTTCGAATTTTAAGACGGTTAAGATGGGCTGCAAACAGGTCATTCCATGAATCTGTAACTCCAGGCAGGCACCAATGCATGCAGTCCTCGTGTTTCTTCCCTCCGGCAGTGGAAGGGTGAGCGTCTGCTCTGAACTCACTCATACGGGTAATATCCAAGATGAGGATACTAGACCCCTCGAGGGCCTCGTATAGGTTCTGATTCATGAGCCGTGTTTCCACGTTCGTCCCGTTATTCTTCAACGAGAAGAGCTCTTCCACCTGAAAGAGGGACAACCGATTTCAACTTTGATCCCGTCATTCTTTCTCCTCGGAAAAAGATGGAAGTAGTTCAGCTTATAATAAGATGCAAGTTTATTCGAAAGGTAGAACATTGCAAGCCGGCAGTTAGATTAACAAATATAGCGTTCAACATAACTAGTGAAGGGACTCACTTCTTCTGGTAACAAAGGCTGTAACCGTTGACAAGAACCACCTTGGTCCCAATCGCCTCCTTCAAAATGCCTGGGTGATTGCGTGCGAAACAATTTAATGGCGCCTGGTCGCATGGTTTTCTCCACAAACTGTGTCTGCAGATTGACAATCAGTAAGAACTAAGACGGGATATTAGTAGCTATAACTCTGCCAAATGCCGAGTCTTCTCTAAACAAAAGTTGCATGAATGATGAATGCCACTAAATAAGCTTTGTTGTAACATACCATGTGTTTTAAAACCTTATCCAAGCCAACAACAGGAGGTATGGGAGGGATCACAGGCAGACCCTTTTCAAAGAAAAGCATCGGTGACTTGACTGGGTTGAATTTCGAAGGAGCCCACCACCTATAAAAGAACAATCGAAATAGTTAATCCAAGCCCGGATATATTCGATAACAAACTAGAAATACATGGATTAGAATAACAAAAGAAATTGTGATCTGGAACCAACACAAAAAATATAACACAATCACATACAGCTTGATCCAAAAAGCATCGATTATTGCATATATAATTCGAAAACCACGTCGAACTATGCAACTTGTCATCTCATTAAGATCCATTTTCGGTCGATTTCATTCAACACGAAAATAGGATGAAATGCTAAAAACAACTTAAGAACAACAAACAAGAAAATAAAAGGTATGCTACCATACCATTGCCACCAAATGATGTCAACAACCAACCAACATAACGTTATAACACAACCACAAGTTACACAGCTCGAGCCTAAGAGCTCTGATGATTGCACGTCACTCAAGAACCAAATCCAAATCTAATCCACTTTCGGTTATTTTCAACCACAATGAACCAACAACTTAGGAAGAACAAACAAGAACATAAAGGCGTGCTACCATAAAATCACCGGCACTAAAAGATCGCGACAAGTCACCATGAATCGGCAATCTACAATTCTACATCATGTTCAATGGAAAGAAGAAAAAGACTACCAGTGTCCTGTGTTAAAGACCAGTATATCATGGAAGCTTGGAGCCTTTTCCCATGTGCTTTCTGGAATATCGACATCGACCCTATAACCCTCTGTATATCCAAGGGCTTCTAACTGACCACCATTTGCATTAGCTGACCACCTGCATCAAACAAGCCAAAGAAAACAACTTTAAACGAAATGAATTGGAAATTTATCAAAATGAACACAAAAGAGCCCCCAACGCAGCTTACCTAACATAACGAGCCAAAAGATTAGTTCGATGATAAGCAATGGTAAAATTATAGTGAACAAAGGTAAAACCACGATCAGCTCCGGCGGGGCGCCATTTCTTCACATCATTGGACGCGCGTTTCAGAGTGCAAAACAAAGAAACAAACATGTTTCTGTTCAAGGAATCACCAATAAACCCTGCACTGTTGAAGTATCGGTTAAGGCATAATTGCTTAAATTATTATTTTTTTGGTAAACTACCCATTTAGTACCCAAAATATTAATATATTTGATATTTCATTTTTGTTTCATTTTCGAACCTACTGTTCAAAACTTGATACTTTTGATGCCTAAACTATCCGTTTTTGTACCTATACAGTATCTAAACTTACGATTTTTATAATATGGTATTAAAATAAAATTAAAATTGAGGGATAATATGATATTAAAACGGATATAATTTATTAAGTAATAACATATTATCCTTATTTTTTCTCTAGTTTCAAATCTCGTGAGAGAGATGGGGAGGGGAAGTACCAATGTTGGTGTCTCTGTAAGTGTGAAGAAACTTGATCGGATCAAACGGCGGGAGATGGCAATCACGAGGCTTCCACTGCCACTTAACGATGTCTCCACCGTTGGATTTGTTGTTCAGAATGCAATTCCATCCTTTGAATATCTCCTTGCAGCTACTGTCGTACCTGTCAAATCTCGCATCTGGGTCATAAACCCACGACCCATCGGAGTAATCGCAGTAAGAATCGCCGGCTGCAGTCGGGTCGGATCGGGGTGTGGCGATGGGATCGATGGGTCTAAATTGGATGAACTTGGGCTGAGTAGCAGAAGAGGAAATGGAGGCTTTTCTGAAAATAGAGAGGAGGAGGAAGATGGAGACGAAGCAGAGGAGAGAGAAGAGAGGGAAAAGAGATGAAAGCTTCAGAGCTGCTGCCATGGCGGTCGAGCTAAGCGGGTAAAGCCCGAGGCTAAAAACAATGGAGATCTTAGCCTGAAGTGAAAATCAAACAAAATAGAGTAATGGGTCGAGTACTCGGGTCCCGTATCAGGTGCCAAAAATTTATCTTATTTAGACAATTTATTAAGGGTTAATACTTAAAATAAGTGTCTAAATTATATATTTATTTCGATTAGATGTTTAAAATATTTTTTAATATATTTAAATATTTAACGTTACAAAATTTATGGGAATAGAGTTTTACAGTAAATGTTTCTGAATTTGAACCTTGTTTCAGTCCAACTTCTGTTTGGGAAGAATCGTCTTCGTTGGAGGCCAAAGAGTCAACGACCTCCCTGCTAGCCACGGTGGGGGAGTTCGCTGGTGTCTAGCCGGAAAAAAGTATCTTCACCAGCAACTGAGGCTCAATAAGCAAATAGCTCTGCAGTAGCTTCATCGGAGTCAAATCGGAGCGATATTCTGATCAACAATTTGAATTAAATAATAGCCAAGTTCTAGAGGAGGTTGCAAAAGCTGTTTCAGTTTTCGAGAATTGAATCGACTCCAAAGAAAAATAGGATTGCAAGACCACTGCTACAAAAACAGAAAAGGTATGTATCCTTGGCAGCGATCCATGAAAGATATTTGACAACTTTCGAAAGGAAAAGAATACCTCGCGTAAGTAGAAAGAAGAAGAAACAAGTGATTGTGGAGGGACCCTCAGAGCTGGAAGGAAGATCTAAATCGGATTCTGACATTTTAGCTAGAAGATCGATCTTGTTAAGGGAAGCAAAAAAATCTCTGGAACTAGGCAAAGCATTGGGGTTACACTTCCGAGGATCCGAAAAGGAAGTAGTCCGAGAACTTGCTATGCTGGAAGGGTCGGATGGAGAGTCGATGGCGTTTTAACGAAGAATAAGCGTTCGTGGTCTTCAGCAGTGTGGGGGCAGAAGTTAATGATGAGGATTCGGGCTTGAACATTTGAGGTATGGGTTCCATTGTTAAATTTTTAGCTTTGAGAAATCTATAATCTCGATAAGAATAGATGTGACCTTCATTCAAGAAACATAGAAGGAGTGCTTGCGAAATTTAAAATTGGGGTCTTAAGTCTTTTCTGGAAGAGCTTTGGGTGCATAGGAATATGTTGAGCAGGGTGTTAGCTTTGGTTTTTAATGTGTTTAGGATTTGCTGTGAATTGATTGCTTTGTTGTTCAAGCTATAAGTTTGTGGGATGTCTTTGATTTCATAATGATTTTGGATAGTGGGGTGGTGTTTTGATAAGCTCGAGCTTCGTTTAGGTGGCGTATGACTTTTTATTTTTTTATGGATTAAAGTTATAGTGTGGGGTGGGTCAAAGCTCAGACTATTCTGGTTCTGCATAGTGATCCATGGAGGAATTGTTTTTGCAGTTCTTGTGTGTTACTGGTTTTAGTCCATGATTTCTCATGGTCATGGTTGGGTGAATTTAATCATAGTTTGGATCTTTCTCTGTTCTACGCTTGGATCTTTCTTTGGTGGAATGTGATCTTTCATCAGTGGAGTGCGATAGTGCTTCATCTTTGAAGCGTGTCAACCATGAGCAATAGTGGCATGGTGTTCTTCTTATCTACTGCATACTCAATCAATGGAATGAATGATCCTGATGTGCGAAAGTTGTTGTTTGGGCCAACATTGGCCTTGGGGGTTGTGGATTAGCTTTGAAGTGATCGATCGTTTGGTTTGCTCAATATAGTTGCATTTTGTCGGTTTGGTTTGCTCAATATGATAGTTGCATTTTGTCAGCCTTTAGCAAACATTGTCCAAGGACATTGCAAATTCTAGGGTTCTTTATAACTTAGCAAATAAGTAACATAGTCTCATACAATTCGCGATCGAGATCTCGATTCGAACAACTAGCTACCACAACACATGTTTCTTATTGATCCATGGAGTTTCTTATCGTACTTTTTTGTCCTTGTTTCCAGGAGGAGTTCTGTAATATGCGGGCACAGTTAGGGGGAAGAACATATGTCTCACTCCTTCAGACTGAATAAAAGGAAGAACAATGCTTGATCCAACCTGAAACACAGCAAATACAGAAAATGGCATTGGTAATCCATATGTTTATATCATGTTGGCGATTTGTTCGGCATAAAATCATACATCCATCACTGATCGAGCTGTTTAGTAGGTAAACTGACCCAAAGGAGTTTAGCTGCATTCCACAGGCGTTTGGGAGAAGGAAATGGGAGTAACAATCGGCAAACACCGTGTACCGCCATGGCTAAGAGATGAAACGCCAAGCTTAACGGCAGGGGCCATAAACCGACTGCACCGCCGATAGTCCATGTGCAAATACACCGAGTCTCAGAAACCCTAAACATGCCTGCTGGATATACTCGATTGCGGGATCGGACGAGGCGCTGAACATCTTCTGCATGACATTAGCCAGTGTGTTTATTGTAGATGACATCGGCTGCAAAATTAGATCATTTTCTTCATTTTTCTTCACTTTCAAAATGCATATGTCAAACATGAAATGCAGTAGTACCTTCCTCAGCACGTAAAAAGATTCTAGGTATCCGTACGTCGCAGATGCGTCGGATAGATCGTGCAACTGTCTCAGAAGATCCCTGACTAAAACGACATCCGATAACGCAACAGTCATTCCACCACCGGTTAAAGCATGACCGCACGTTGAGTGCATCGCCGATCAGAAGTGCACCGGGAGTCGGTATTGGACGAGCAGCCATGATTTTGTTTGCCATTACTCTTATGTTATCCTTCTTCTCTATTGCAGACACAAAGGCAGTGTGCAGTTCTGGTATGACCTGAAATGTATGAACCATATTGTTAATCCGCAGATTCTACCAAATTCACGTAATGAATTAATCAGTTCCGTCTCAAATGATGTGGAGGCCCCGTGTTACTTTTTAAAACGAACGTAAATATCGTTAGGGCACGAATACCTTGGGAGCCACCAGGTTCTTCAAGTAATGGCTCATTTCACCATTGGAAAGAGAGGGTAAATTTTGACTAGGAACATCCACCATGCAACGAATTTCAGTGCTGCTGATCAGATAGAACACCATAGGTGAAGGATCGGCTATTATGACACCTCCATAATTTTCATTCGGAACCTTACAGCCGGTCAGAACTAAACCAACAAAATAAGAGGGCCACATCAACCTGCAGAAACAATCAAAGACCTTTATATACATATCATATATATATATATATATTGCGTTATTTTGTTGAGTTCCAATTACTAAAAGTTATAAAATGATTCTCGATCAATTATAGAGTGTTGTTATGTTGATTCCCCTATTATTAAAAGTTACAAAATGATCACTGAACTATTCATATGTTTTAAATTAGTCTTTTTTCGTTGAAAAATCGATGATTTTTTGAGTTTGATGTTAACCAATTGATTGAGATATGTTAAAATCATATTTTAATGATATTTACATGCACCGTCGTTACTTTCAAGTACTTGCTTGACAGAATAATGTTTCAAGCACTAACTCGATAGTAGGATATAAACTAAAAGTCGATACACAAAATACAATTCAAACAGATTTGGGATCAGATATTATCATATCTCAATAAACAAGTTAATGTCCAACTCAAACGATCGTCAATTTTTTAACGGGAGAAAAATAATTTTGAAACATATGAATAATCAAATGATCATTTTGTAACTTTTAATAATTTGAGAACTCAACAAAACAATACTTTATAGTCGGGATCGTTTTATAACTTTTGATAGCTGGGGTTTAAGGTTTATGATTTAGGATTTAGAGTTTAAGATTTAGGATTGAGTGTTTATGGTTTAGGATAGGAGTTTAGGGTTTAAAATTTGAGATTAAGATAAAAATATATTTTATTTTCCTCTGAATTAAAAGATATTTGTTTACAGGTTATAACATTTAATTAAATCTAAGTTATTTATTTAAATTTAATGATTATAAATTATAGCAAAACTTATTAATTTTACCTATTAATACCCTTTCTCTATATATATGCTCAAAGCATAGAATTTGAAGCTTTTTTTCACCTTGGGGTTGCAGAGAGATCGTCTCAGATTCGACAAATAACCGTTGCATACAACGGTGAGCGGAGCGTAACCCGGCAGCAGTCGACCACACTTGTCTTTGTAGTGCACTCCTTTGACAGTCCCATTTTCTTCGATCAGAGATGTCACTGTCCCTTGTTCTAGACTCACACTACATCATCATCATACATATCATCGAACACATGATCAATTCTCGTGACATCAAATGTCGAAATCGAATAAAGATCGAATCAAGATCGAGACGAAGAAGATGAACTACCTGTGAAGAGATGCAGCCTTGTGCCTCAACCTCTGAACGAAACGGCCATTGTGAAAGAGTCTTCCGGCCACATGGGACTGATAGTCTTGCAGAGGGAAACTTATGGGGACTTTCTTTCCATCCTTGTATAGAACATAACCCAGAATCCTCTGAGCATCGATCTCGTCAACACAATATGCAGTGCAACAGTTATTGTTAACACTCACGTTGTAACGTTTCTCGAGGTCACCACGACACCGCGAATCGGATCTCAACATTACATCGGTGCATAAGCTATTAAAATGCAGGGTTTTTCTTGTTTAATTACCCTCGAGGCCTAACTCGATCAACTTGAGGTATCCCCCGGCAGTAGAACTTCACCCATGACTCTCTTGGGCTTGTTTAAGTCCCTCTCGATCACTCGTACTCGACGTCCATCCTGCAACATGCAACCAAATAAATGTAACATATATATGTATATATATATATATATGTATATATGTATATATATATATATGTATATATGTATATATTGACATATTGGGACCTTTCCAAGAGAATAGGCAAGAGCAGCACCGGCGACACCGGCGCCGACAATGATGATATCCGTCGTCCCAACAGCCTCAAAGTTTCCATTTTTGTGTCCACAATTCTCATTTGGAACCTCCATGGAATCTGATCTTTTAAGCTTTCTCAGTCCCCTGACTCTCCCAAAAAATACAAGCTACAGCACCAGCAACTGC